GAACGACCGTGAATTGATCGAAAAAGAAAGGTATAAAAGAAAGCGTTCAACCTAGGGGTTGCTAATTGTTACTTTCAATCTCGATTCTCCCAATCAACGGTTAGATGATGCTGCTAGGGAAATTGCAAGGCTAAAGAAATGGTATGACAAAGCAATGCAAGACAAAAGAGAATTAGAAGAAGACCTGAGAGCTCAAATTCAAGGGTTAGCAGAAGGTGCTCTGGACTCAGAGGAACAAATCCAAATCCTTCTCACAAGTCTTCAGGAAAGCCAAGAAGAAGAGGAGAGAGAACGCCTTAGGAAAATGAGAGCAGAAGAACTTCTCTCTCAAAAGGTGGAAGAATATGAACAAGTCTGCCAAGAGTTGAAAGGCCTCTGAAAGGATTTCCTTATACAAATGGAACTCTACAAGGATATGAGAGCTGAAAATAGATATTGGGAAGCGAAATATGCAAAGATAGCTCAAGCGGGAGAAGATAACAAGATCGTAATTCCGACACTATACAAGGAGTATCTGAGATACAAATACAAGCATGCAAAGCTTGATTTCCTAGCAAACAATCTCATTGGTGACATTTCTAGAAGCTTGAGAGATGCATAAGCCATGATGGTCCCTCTTCTGAAGAAAGTCGGAGACTTCCTTAAGCTTTGTAGGGAGATGGTTGATGGTTTTAGGGAAGAAATCCGCAAGCGTGTTTAGGAGATTTTAGTTTCCCTTTTGTTACACCAAACCCCGACTAAGATTTCAATACTGCCGCTGCTAATCAATTTAGAGGCACACCGAGAATCCCTGATGAAAATTCTAAGCTTCACACACGTTACAAAGGAGATCAGGGTAAACCAATTTGATGTAGTCGAGGCCAATCTAACATCAGGGTCACGCCTAGGCTTCAATGGTAGTGAGTTACCTCCACAACGTAGAACTCACAATAAGGCACATCACATTTCAATTTAGATAGGGAAAACTAGCCTATCCAAAGTACTCACTAATACTGGTTCTTCCCTAAACGTGCTACCGAAGGCTAGCCTGATGAAGTTAACAATGGATGACATTGGCATAAGACCAAGTTCTATGATATTAAAAGCTTTTAATGGTTCTCAAAGTACTGTGTTTGGAGAGGTGGATCTCCCAGTAAAGATCAGTCCTCATATGTTCTGCATTACTTTTCAGGTGATGGATATAGAACAAACATATACTTTCTTGCTCGGGCGACCTAGGATTCACGTTGTAGGGGTTGTCACCTCAACCCTACATAAAAAATTGAATTTCCTTGTCAAGGAAAACTGGTGATAGTTGACGGAGAAGAAGACATCTTTGTTAGTCATTTGGAGTCTTACAAATATATTAGTATAGGAGAAGATTGTATGGAGACGCCATTCCAACTCTTAGAAGTGGCTACAATGGTTACGCTCTCGGTAGAGAAAATCTCAAAACTTGGAACCCCTATGGCATCTTAGAGAGATTTACAAACAACTGTGAAGAATCGAACATCTAAAGGTTGGGGCGAGCTTGTGGAGATACCTGAGAAGAAAGATCATTTTGGTTTGGGTTATAAATTGTCAAACGCTACACAGAAAGGCAAAGGGAAATTTCCTTCCATCCAGGAAACCTTTGTCAGCAAAGGAGTAGAGCATGGTGGGAAAATGTCAATGTTATCCAACAGAGGCAATGACAATTGAGCATCTAACCTTATCCGAGAATGTGCTCCAGGCGAGGAGCTCAAGAATTGGACAATTGTGGAGATTCCATAGATCTTTTTCTTTCCGAAGTAATTTTTATGTTTTTGAAAAGAACCTATGACCCGCCCGAGGCATATAGGTAGCTTTTAAGGGGCCCCATTTGTTTTCAAAACAGTGTTTTTCAATTAATAAGAATTATGTTTTGCATTCAACTAAGATCCATGTCTTTCTCTTGCATTTTTATTTTATTTTCAAATGGAAATACCTTTTCATATACATTTCCCAATTCATATTCTAAAAGAGCACTAAAACATGATAAAATATGCAGATCTACATCTAAACTCACCTATAATGATACTGCTACTATCCTATATAATTTTGATGCACCAATTAACCAAGCTGAAGAGGGAGATGAGGAAGATCTTGAATTCTCCAAAGAATTGATGAGGGTATTAGAGAAAAAAGAAGATAATATACAACCATACCAGGAATCTATTGAGACCGTCAATCTTGTGACCGAAAATGACCCAAAAGAAATCAAGCTAGGTGCAACCTTGGAGAAAAGTGTTAAAGAAAGGCTGATCAAGCTCCTACATGAGTATGTGGATATATTTGCCTGGTTTTACTGAGACATGTCAGGTTTGGATACAAATATTGTGGTGCATAAACTACCTCTCAAATAAGGTTGTTCTCCGGTTAGATAGAAACTCAAAAGAACTCATCCAGACATGTCTGACAATATTCAAGAAGAAGTCCTCAAGCAATTTGATGCAGGGTTCTTAGCCGTGGTAGATTATCCATCTTGGATAGCTATCAGGATTTAAATAAAGTAAGTCCTAAAGACGATTTCCCGTTACCCTGCATAGATGTTTTGGTGGAGAATACAACTCAAGCTTCGGTATTTTCTTTCATGGATGGTTTCTCAGGATATAATTAAATTAAGATGGCGCCCGAGGATATGGAAAAGGCTACTTTCATGACTCCTCAGGGCACCTTCTGTTACAAAGTAATGCACTTCGGGTTAAAGAACACAGGGGCAACTTATCAACGAGCCATGATCATGTTATTTCATGTTATGATCCATAAAGAAGTCGAGGTATATATGGATGATATGATTGCCAAATCTCATATAGAGGAGTACCACATCATTCATTTACAAAAGTTATTTGAACGTCTGCAAAAATTCAAACTAAGATTCAATCCGAACAAATGTACATTTGGTGTCAAGTCAGAAAAACTATTGGGTTTTATTGTAAGTTAGCCATGTATTGAGGTGGATCCCGACAAGGTGAAGGCCATACAAGAAATTCTAGCTCCAAGAACAAAAAAATAGGTTCGTGGTTTCTTAGGATGATTGAACTACATATCAAGGTTCATATCGCACCTAACTGCTACGTGCGAGCCTATATTCAAATTACTTCAAAAAGACCAATCAGTGGAGTGGAGTGATAACTGTCAAACAACCTTCGAAATAATAAAGTAGTATTTACAGAAGCCACCAATTTTGATGCCACCTGTCCTTGGAAGACCACTTATCATGTATTTAACAGTACTTGAAGGATCTACGGGATATGTATTGAGGCAACACAACAAAACAAGTAGAAAAGAGCATGCCATCTACTACTTAAGCAAGATACTTACTGAATGCGAAACCCGATACTCACTCCTTGAGAAAACTTGTTGTGCTCTAGCTTGGCCTACTAAACAACTGAGGAAATATATGTTAACTCACACCACATGGTTAATAGCAAGAATAGATCCTTTAAAATACGTGTTTGAAAATCCAGCTCTTACGGGGAGAATTGCTCGATGGCAGATGTTGTTATCCGAATATGACATCCAGAATGTTAATAAAAAAGCTATCAAGGGAAGTATACTAGCTGACCACCTGGCTCATCAACCATTTCCAGAATATCAACCAATAAAGTTCGACTTTATAAACGAAGATATCATGGTTACAGGTGACTACGAAGTACCAGGACCCGACAGAGGACCTGAATTGGGGGCACGGTGGACACTAATGTTTGACGGTGTTTCAAATGCGCTAGTGTTATACCCCAATTTTCCCCCTAAGATCCCTCATCACATCATATACATCTAATGCATATCATTGATTCCATGGTTACGGGATCAAAGGGCTTTTGGAATTAGGGGTTTTCTCTATGGATTGAGGTTGCTACCTTACTCAAAGTTGATTCAACTGGTGCTATCATCATTCTTGATATGAGACTAGGATTTTGGATCACAAGCATCATATACGTCTTCACTAGCAGTGTTCCTCGAGATATAAGGTTGTCTTCATCAGAATTTCTTTGGGAAAAGTGCTTTAGGGTTTACCGTGTGCTCAAGATTTCATTATGTACTCATTAAGAATGGTCTGAAGCCAGGGTTTTTATTCCTCTCAATACCTCAAGTCATCTCCTCGTCAACTTGCACCTAGAGCCAAAGAATTATGGTTTTCCTCGTGCCTAAGTATTAGTGTTGGTTAATCGACAATGATTCTTATTTTGACTTGGTTTTCTCATCAAGGCTACAAGGATAATCATCCTATCCTCATTGGAAGTTCGTCATTAACATTTAGGGTTTCTCCCAATAGCTTTCTTTACAAGGTTTTCCTTTCGAGATGTTTTAAGGATTTAATCAGGAGATTTCTTTCTTGTAACGATACTTGTCAACTGATTAAGGATTGTATTAAGTTTTCATCAAGTCAAGATATGTCTTGTTGGTTGGACTATGGGTGAGGAGATCATTTATCTCTCATTTTCAAAAGGAACTTGGTTGCTTCTAGAAATTTGTGATTCAATTTGAGACTAGGTTTCGTCAGTCAGATGACATGTATTTGTTTCATGCTCTCACAGAATATTGACGCTAGAATGCACACGGGCTATGGTGCATATTTTGTTCTCGAATTAATTCAAGCTAGATTGGACAGTTCATGTGGTTTTCATCATTTCAAGTATTATTCAAGACCACACTAGTGTTGAATCATCGTCCATCAACAAAGTTGATTAAACATGCTGGGTCTTTAAACTACAAAAGACTACTTCCAATTTTTTGGACACTATGAAGTTTAATTCATGTGCTGCAAATAATGATAGCGTGTGTTTGTTTCGGTGCACGAAAAGAAATAAAATGGAATGGAAGGCTTGTGATTTAAATAATGATAGTTCAAGCTCATAATCTCAAGGGGTCATTGTTTCATCTGAATTCATTTTCAAACTGTCAAAAAAATTACAGTCAACATTCATCCAAGATAATAGTCAAATTCAGTTACAAACTAATATCATCATCATCATTCAAAAGATCAAAATGTATATAAAATGGATATAGCAAGTCAAGTAATTTGGTGTTGCTCCATCTTCATGAAATTTCTGATACGAATCCTTCAGATGGCTCCCGACTTTCTGAACTCAGAACAGCCCCTGCGTTGTGTAATTTTAAACCACATTCGGCGCAAAATAATAAGCTCTGCCCTGTTTCAAAATGTTATAATCTTCCCAAAAACCCACATGAAAAAAGGCCAGTGAATAAAATTGAGCAGTCCAGAAATCCAATCCAAACACCTTGCTTTCCATGGACTAATTCGTTCTAAAGCTAACACGAATGCCTTGTTCGGCGTTTTGACTTTGCTCTGAAATATGTCAAAATAACCCTGCATCAAATAGAGAAAAAAGATCCAATCATAAGTCTGTCCATGCAAATGTGCTTCCAAAACATAATACCAATTCACATACATCAAAACTACACAAAAAAATCTTGTTTCTAAGCCTAAGACATGATCTTCATCTTCTTTGCCAAGGCTCTTTTGAGACAACCGTGCAATCTCCTCTCCAAACCAAATCCATTCTTTACAAAATAAAGCTCAATGATCAATAGTATGCCAAAGCTGCCATGCTCCAAGAACAATTAATATTGATTCAGTTCAAGCTAAAAACCAGTTCATACATCGATCTGCATTAGTCTTCAATAAGTGGCATGCTTGTAGTTTTAAAACCAGTTTGAGGTTTTATAAAAACAGAAATTGGAAAATGAGAGCAAAGTGCGTGCAAGTTCTCTCAAGGACAGTTGATTAAAACAAAAAAGAATTCGAAGCTGAAAGGACAAGGCTTTAGAGTACCATTGGAGATTGTTGAGAAGATCACAGGAGCGGGGATGTCTTTATAAAAAGATTTTCTCGGTGAAACTAAAACAAAACAACTAAAGCCCTATCTCAGTTCAGATTTTGGAAGCAAAAAATTAACAAAGGAAAAGAATCTACTCTTGCTTATAATATTCATTAATATGCAGAGGTCTATACCAGTAAGCTAGAGAATGCTCTTTTTCCTTCACTTAAACCACGACTTCAGGTTCAATTTAACGTCAGGATTATGCCTGATTGTGTGAAAATTATCAAAATAGAAAAAGAAGAAAGTAGAGAGGAAATTAGTAAATCATAAAAATAGAGGGATTAACTCAAACTCAAATTTACAGCTCAAGCATAACAGAATTTACCTCTCAATCGTGAGTCAATCTCAGCCCTCCATTTCAGTAACCAACTTTCGATCCAAGGGATGAGAAGCTCCAATCTATAACAGAATTTCCACTACTTTATAACAGAAACTCTAATAGAGTTTGGGGGGATTCATTTTTTTTTTGGAGGATACACAGAAAAATCACAAAGACTCACCTTTGAATCTCTCTGAGATTTTTGGGAGGAATTCTCATCTTCATCTTCGACCCTCATTCTCTCTTCTTCGGGGATATTCACCTTCAATCATCATCAATATTCTTCATTACCCTGCTACAGCATGCAACAATTTACAACGCGTTGATTTAGAGAAGCGAAATTGAACGTAGAAAACGGAATAAAACGCAGAAAGTAGAGATAGAAGAAGAACGAGCAAGAATGAGTACCATATTTTCTCAGTATCTTCGTTGTTGAAGCGTCATCAGAGCGACTCCGATCGGTAAGCTTCGAATCTCCACTCTCCATTTCGCTCACATTTTTCTTCTCTGCTATGATGTTGATCGAATTTCTTTGAGTTTAAACTTCGTAATCGCTACTCCGCTTCACATCGCAAACGCATTTCAAATGTAAATCATCGGAATCCTCCTCTCCTTCCGATTTCTCTTGAGTTTTTTAGGTTCCTGAATCGAAACCACGAGGTGATGATATTTGAGACGGATTTAATGGCGGTCAACATGGATGACGATGATAAACTGAAGGTTGTGTACGGCGGAGGAAAGGCCGGATAAAAAATGATAGAGATCAAACATCCATGGTGCTACGATCTACAATGTTGTGGAGATGAGTCAAATGGCGGTGAGACAGAGGTGAGAGGCGGAGCTGTGATTATTGATCAAAGAAGAATGTTTGAGGAGTTGAGATCGCGCCATTTGCGAATAAGAGAGCCTGGGTCGTATTATCTGAAACGACATAATTGTGACCCTATCCAAGATCTAAATCCAGCATTTTTTCTTCTTCTCGTTAGACTTTTGTTTTATTATAAATTGATAAATGGATTAAAAATCTGAATGTGGATTTGAGTTGAGAATGGTTGGGCCGGAAGATTAGAGGCCATGCGTTGGGTTTTCTAAAAGCCCATTACTTTTTTTGATGCACATATAGCATTGCAACAAAATGGTTGTTGGATCCTCTTTGTTGGGCTTAATGCCTTTCTGATCCACACATCTGAATCCGTATTCGCACCCCTGACTCATTCTAATTTCTTTGGTCTTAAATTTTGTTTTTAGTTTAATTTCCTTTTTTCTAATAATAAAAATAGTAATAGAATATATAATAAAAATAATAAAAAATATGTAGAATTTAGGAATTCCTCTTAAATTTTTTTAGATAATAAACTACAAAATCAATAAAAAAAAATTGTTAGGCTTTTTATTTGATTTTAGGAAATTAATTCATAATCTTTCGATTACTTGAGACTTGTGATTCACTTCTGCTTGTCGAGATTTGAGTTTTATGCAGGTTTAGGATGTGATATGTGAACATGCTTGAGTTTTCGATTATGATTTATTTTCACATCGATGATGCTCCGACACAATTTTTGAGTATTCGATCTTTGACTGTTTGTTTGTTGATGCCAGCTTTCGCGAAGTATTCCGGGTTTCTTGGCTTTGGTTGCGCTTTTTGAGGACATTGTTGTTCGTTTGGTATTATACTGCTTCCAATTTATCTTTCCATATTTTATTGCTTCCTAGATATCATGAGAAGTAGGAAATAAACAGCATGCGCTCGAAGTTGCTGTTTAAAGACCTGTAGCAGAAATTCCACACTTGTTTGCTAATTGTGTTTGTATTTATTTTCATGGGTTTATGATCGATGATGTCACTCAATTAGAATTGAGATTACGACTTCGATCTTTTGCATGCTCCCCTTAGGATTTTTACTTTCCTTTGTTGATGATTGATGATGTCACTCAATTAGGGTTGAGATAACGAGTTTGATCTTTTACATGCTCCCCTTAGGATTTTTACTTTTCTTTGTTGATGATCGATGGTGTCACTCAATTAGAATTGAGATAATGACTTCGATCTTTTGCATGCTCCCCTTAGGATTTTCAATTTCCTTTGGATCGCTCGATTAGGGTAGCTTTCGAGCTATACATTAGGATAGTTATCCATGCATGCTAACATAGGGTAGAGATGTCCCTTTCTATCCTTGACATAGGGCCATCATTGTATGATAACACTAGGTTAGAGGTAGGTTAGTCTCTCTTAAATGTTTTCTTCCCATTTTGCATAATTGTATTTAAAACTAAAACTTCTTTTTCTTGGAAAATGTGTAAAAATGCTAAGCATACAAAAATCCTTTTTATGGTAAAATACAAATAAAAAGAAACATGTGAGCCGGACTACAATACTCTGATTCCTTAAAAGGGATACGTAGGCATCTGGTCACGGGGCTAAGCCGAGCAAAAATTTGTAAATATTTCCTTATTTTCCCCGTGTTTTCTTTGCATGCATTCCCTCTTAGAAAATTTTCTTTATTTTAGCTCTTAATCATTAGATTGAACACACCCTTTGATTAGAATAACAAGAGTGGATCCCGTAGAGTACTACGGACGTGAGGGGTGCTAATACCTTCCCCTCGCGTAATCAACTCCCGTACCCGATCTCTCTCTTTCCAGACCTTGATTTCTCCCTTCAAGTTTTTCTTCGATGATTTTCCTTTCCCTTTTATGTGGGATAAATTAATATTCGGTGGCGACTTCATTGATTTTATCGCTACAGAAAATGGTGACTTCACTGGGGACAGATTGACCAATTGCTGGTCCATCTTGTGAGTCACTCCTAGATCATGTTTTTCTTTTCATTGGGTGTTTACTTTATGTTTTATAGCTTATTAATTTATACATATATTTGAGCATATGTTTGCATTGCATTTTATTGCTTTCCATATATTGGTGATACTACTGTGTTGGATCCGTTTTCATGATTGGGTGGGTGTTACTACGAGGTGAAAGGCCCAATACCCAGGCCAAGTGACAACCATAAGAACATTAGGAATAGAGTGGAACATATTGGCTAGTCGACTTAGGTTTCACTATTGCCGCCATGTCGCCCATGCTCAGATGAGGTACAAATGAGGGGCTATCGTTTTCACGTAGGTGATACAACGATAGTTTTTCAGGAGTACCCTTGATTCTGAGTTACCCGACCTTACCCTGACCTAGACTTCACCCTGAGTGGGGAGGGAATAATATTTATAGGTACAGACGGTGACTATGTTCTGTTGGTGACTTTGTTTCTATGGTGTTTTGATTTGATTTGGAAATTTGATCTCATTACAAAATGATTCTGGTTCTGTTATCAGTTCAGCAACTATCCAACATTACGAAAGCTTTGATCCCACACGTTTGCATACATGTCATGTTAATGTAATTATTAGCATACATGTTGCTTCGTTCCCAAGCGTCATTTCTTTGATTCCAATTGTTAAGCCGCTAGAAAATGAACTTTGTTAAGAAAAATACCATGGCTTAATAATAGGAATCAAAGTTTATAAACTCTTGGAAACGAGAACATGGAATTTGTATTGCATGTCATGCATCATGTTGCATTTAATTATGCATTTCATGAGTTTCCCGGAAGTCTTACCCAAGGTCCTTTGGTCTTCAAAATCAAGATGTCTCACCGGTATAACACTCGAGCCAACTCTAAGAAAAAGATGGAAAATCTCGAACAGGAGAATTGTGAACTGCGCGAAGAGGTTACCTCTTTAAGAACCGAAATGGCGAACTTGACTGCTTTAGTAGATTCATTGGTGGATGCTCAGAATCATATACCTCCACCTCCTCATGTTACTCAACCACAACAAACAACAATTGTCTTTGAGGTTATGACAGTCCCCGTCTCAGTGGCTCCAAATACTACCGCTGCTCAGTATCGCATGCCTCCTGGTTATCTATAGGGAATGCATAAGGGCTATATGCCAGAAGGATATAATCCTACTGCTCAAGTGGCTCTGCTTGTACAACAAGTTATGGTTTCTTCCCCTCCCGTGGTACACGTTACTCCTACTGCTAACAATGAGATTCACCATGTTGTACCTTCTATAGTGAATGATGTCCCTATTATTAATGATATGGTTCATCATACTACTCCTCTACCAAGTGAAAGATTTGGATTCTATTACATAATGGATTATTTCCAATATCAGTTTAATGAGATGCGAAAAGAAATGAAGGCCCTCAGGGGAAAAGAGTTATTTAGACAGAATGTAAGCAATTTATGCTTGGTTCCAAATGTAAAAGTACTCGCAAAATTCAAAGTGCCGGAATTCGAGAAATACAAGGGCAATACTTATCCTCGTGCCCACCTTGTGATATATGTGACAAAAATGTCCACTCACACTGACGACCAACGTCTGCTAATCCACTTTTTCCAAGATAGTCTGACTGGTGTTGTATTGAAGTGGTACATGAGTTTGGATAACGCCGATATTCGCACCTTTAACGACTTGGGTGTAGCGTTTGTTAGATAGTACAAGTATAATATGGATATGGCACCTAACCGTGATCAACTCAGGGCGATGGTCCAGAAAGACAAGGAGTCATTTAAAGAATATGCACAGAGATGGCGTGAAGTAGCCTCCTAAGTGATACCTCTAATGGAAGAGAAAGATATGACAAAGATTTTCCTAAAAACTCTTGGTCCCTTCTATTATGAAAGAATGGTAGCGAGTTCACCAAGTGATTTCACTGAGATGGTGGGAATGGGTGTTCACTTAGAAAAAGATGTGAGAGAAGGCCATTTGACAAAAGATGAAGGTTCTAATGGTACAGAGAAACCATCATACATGTTTTCTAGAAATAAAGAAGGATATACAAATGTTGTTGTTAAAGAGAGAAAGGTTAAACCTCCTAGAAGATGTCATCAGCATCAACAACAGGTTGCATCGGTAACTCTGGTTGTTAACATACCTCTGACTGCTGTTGCGTATCAAAGAGCACCCCAACAAAGTAATAAGGGGCAGGGTAAGAAGAGAGAAGCTTTATATCCTATCCCGATGAGTTATGCAGAGTTATTTCCAACATTGATTCAGAAGAACCTAGTGCAAACCAGGAATCCTCCTGCTATACCTACAACATTGTCGTGGTATTATAAGGCGGATTAGACTTGTGCTTTTCACCAGGGAGCCCCAGGGCACATCATTGAGAATTGCTACCCTTTGAAGTCCGAGGTGCAGAAATTGGTCAGATATGGTCTCTTGTCCTTTAAAGATGTTGGTCCCAATGTGAAAGACAATCCATTGCCCAAGCATGAAAGTGGCAGAATGGTGAATATGGTTTCTGATAATCTGGGAGAAGTCAGGATTTATGATGTGAATCTGATAAAAGGTGATTTAGTGAATATGCATACTAACCTTTGCAGGTTCAGATATTGTATACATGACCATAAGATGTGCAATATATGCAGCCGAAATATCAGCGGATGTGATAAGGTAAGAGTTGATCTTCAAAAGATGATTGATGAAGGCCTTGTTCGTATTGTCAGGACCAAGGCTAAATGTGAAGAGGAAGTGAATATGGTGTACAAATTTCCAGGTGAGTTTCGAATTTATGACGTGAACGATATGGATGATAATCTGGTGCAGTTGCATGCCAACTTTTGCTACATGCCAAGACAAGAGATACATCAATACGGTGGTTGTTGGATCTGTTGTAGGGACCCCCGAGGTTGTTCAATTGTAAGGAGAGGTATTCAATTACTTTTAGATGAAGGTACCATCAGAGTCACAAGAAATATAGATGGCTATATTGGAGTCAACATGATTGAAGACTATTCTAGTGAGATCATGTCGAATGATGAGTATGTTGCTGCCGGTGACTTCTTTTCTGATGATGAATGTAAGCATGTGGATGAAAATGATCTTTCAAATGGTGATTCTTCAAATTCTGAATATACAAAAGAGGTGGGGGTGAATGTTATTGTACCTTATTTTGACATT